CCCACCCAATACCACTGTAAGCAACTGTCAAACTGCTCTCCCTTGATATACAATGCTCATCTGTCACCTTCCTTTTAAGAAAAATCAACCATTCCCCAACATCCACCAGACAAAATCCAAACTTTTTGGTCTGGCATTCATTTCCCACCCTCTTACTCCACTCTGTTTTCACTGTCTTGTTCACTATCTCATCTTCTCTAAACTCCAGTTAATCTGAGATACTGTTTCTGAACATTTCTATACCCAGGAATTTCCTTTTCCACCCTGGAATAGCCACCCTTCTACCTCCACCTGTCTCACCTATCACAATCCTATTTATTTGTGAAGATGCAGCCTCCTTCATGAAACCTGCACCTGCTCCAGCCCCCAGCTGGAAGGGATCAGAATTCAGAGAAATATGTCTCCTCAGGGATCTGAGCTACTTGTACAAGAAATATAGAAACTTGGATGGCAGGAGCCCCTGGACTGCCTCAGCTGACAGTGGCCAGTGTGACACAAAGCTAGAGAAGCAAATGCTTTCTGAAATGACAGGCAAATCAAACTTGTCCTGTAGATGAAGGCTTAAAAAAAAGTCTCTTGACTGATCTGCCTCTAATTTAAAGGGAGGGGGAAACTTCTGTGTGATCCCAAGCACATTTACCTCTAACAGCAGAAGAAATGAACAATGCTTCCTGTACTGGGTCAAATAGAATCTCCCCAAAACTTTATGTCCATCTGGAACCTCAAGTGATATGATTTAGAAATAGGGTCTTTGCAAAGGTAATGAGTTAAGATAAAATAAAAATGAATTAGTTGGCCCTAGATACCAATGACTGGTATCTTTACAAGAGAAAGGAAAGGGAGATTCAAACACAGAGACACACAAGGAAGAAGGCCATGTGACAATGAGGCAGAGATTAGGGTGATGCAGTGACAAGCCAAGGAGCACCATGGATTACTGGAGCTACCATGAGCTGGAAGAGTAAAGGAAGGATCTTCCCCTAGAACTTCAGAGGAGCACAGCCCTGCCAACACCTTGATTTTAGACTTCTAGCCTCCAGAACTGTGAGAGAATACATTTCTTTTGTTTTAAGCCCTACAACTGTGGTCATTTGTTACCATAGCCCTAGGAAACTAATACAGTTTTATTTCATCAATCAACAAACATCTATGTACCAACTACTATGTATAAGATACTGGTAGAGGGACTATAATGGATATATATGACCAAAGTGCTTTGAAGCACAAAATTAAGAATGTTAATCTCTACCAAAGTGAGTCGGGAATGACATCCCCAAAGAATGACATCAAGCTGAGTCTTGAACTATGATCAGGATCAACAAGGTAGAGTATTCCAGGTAAAAATAATACCATATGCTAGGGCTCAGAGACATAAAAGACTACTAAGTTTAAGGAGTAGTGAAAAAAATTCAATGTACATGAAATGTATGCTCCATGTGGGCAGGAAGTAGGAGATAAGGCGGAAAAATAGAGTAGAGCCAGAGAGTGAAGAGACTTAAAAGCCATACTCAGGATTTTGGACAGAGGATAATATGATCAGATTTAATTCAGAGAAGTTCATGCTGACAGCAGTGTGGCGGACAGCCCAGAGCAGGGATGGGGGTGGAGACCAATAACACAGGGATATGTTAACAATTCAGAAAAAAAATAACAGGGGTCTAAAATGAGGAAGTGGTAGTGATAAGCAACTGAATCAAGCTTCTCTGAAGAAAACTGATAGGATTTGGGCCGGGCGCGGTGGCTCACGCCTGTAATCCTAGCACTCTGGGAGGCCGAGGCGGGCGGATTGCTCGAGGTCGGGAGTTCGAAACCAGCCTGAGAGAGACCCCATCTCTACCAAAAATAGAAAGAAACTAATTGACCAACTAAAAATATATATACAAAAAATTAGCCAGGCAATTAGCCGGCCATGGTGGCACATGCCTGTAGTCCCAGCTACTCGGGAGGCTGAGGCAGTAGGATCGCTTGAGCCCAGGAGATTGAGGTTGCTGTGAGCCAGGCTGATGCCACGGCACTCACTCTAGCCTGGGCAAGAAAGTGAGACTCTGTCTCAAAAAAAAAAGAAAACTGATAGGATTTGGTGACTGACTGAACATGAAGGGAAGGAGCATGACTCCAAGTTTTATAGCTTGAGACAACCAGTTACCAAGATTAACCAAGGTAGTCATCGGAAAGTAGGGAAGTGGCCGAAAGGATGAATGTGGAAGTGCACGTATGAACATCTAGTATTCAAGAGTTAGCTGGAGGCCAGACCACATAGTGGCGCTCAATGTCACAGAAGTGGATAGCATCACCACAGGAATGAAGAGAGAAGAGCACTGAGAACAGTCTCGGGGAAAATCAGTGTTTAAGAAACAGCCGGAGCCCAGCACAGTGGTTCACACCTGTAATCCTAGTGTTTCAGGAAGTCAAGGCAGGAGGATTACTTGAAGCCAGGAATTTGAGACCAGCCTGAGCAACATAGCAAGACACTGTCTCTATAAAAAAAATTTTTTTAATTAGTCGGGAGTGGTGGTGTGTGCCTGTAGTCCCAGCTACAATGTTTCCCTGAAAATAAGACAGGGTCTTATGTTTATTTTTCCTCAAGAAGACACTCTAGGGCTTATTTTCAGGGATGTGTTATTCTCTATGGAGACTCAGTGGGAGACTGCTTGCTGAAGCTTTTCCCCTATCCCCTGGTGTTTGTGGGGGTGAGAGAGGCCCACAGTGCTTAGTAAAATGGCAGCCACAGCTTTCCTTCTTCCCCCTGAGGACACACAATACCTAAAGCAGAACGTTCCACTCCTCACTTCACTGAGGAGACTTTCCCCTCAAAGCCTCAGCTTGCAGCACGCACAGAATGGCAGGGACCTGACAGGGGGAGCTGACCTTATTGGTGGGGCTGCCCACACCTTTCCAGTCACCTCTGGGATAGTAGCTGTCATGATGGGACAGATGAGAAGGGCTGCTCATCTTCTTTACCGCTCCATGATGAAATGCATGGGTTGTGCAGATAAGCTGTGTAGCCACGCCCATCACGAGGTCTTATTTTTGGGGTAGGGCTTACATTGCGCAAATGCTTAGAAATCCTGCTAGGGCTTATTTTATGGGTAGGTCTCATTTTCAGGGAAACATGGTACTTGTGATGCTGAGGCAGGAGGATTGTTTGAGCCCAGGAGTTTGAGGATGCAGTGAGCTATGATCATGCCACTGCACTCCAATCTGGGGAAAGAAAAGAAGGAAAGGGAAAGGGAAAGGAAAAGGGAAGAAGAAAAGAAAAGAGATGAAAAGAAAAGCAAAGAAAGGAAAGTAGGAAGGAGAGAAAAAGAGAAGAAATGGAAGGAGAAGGGAAGTAAGAGAAGGGAGAGGAGGGAGAGGGAGGAGGAGGGAGAGGGAGGAGAGGGGAGGAGAGGGAGGAGGGGAGAGTGGAGGAGGAGAGGAGAGGAGAGGGAGAGGAGAGGAGAGGAGAGGAGAGGAGAGGAGAGGAGAGGAGAGGAAAGGAAGGGAAGAAAGGAAGAAACAGCTGGAGAAGTAGGAGCAGGCAAAAATTCTGAGAAGGCAAGAGATAGACCAGGAGAAAACGGCACTTCCAAAACCAAGTAACAAGAGTTGCAAGGGATTACATCTAAGGAGTCCAAAAAATAAGGGCTGAAAAAATGTGTCCAGTGGATTTGTGCATTAAGCCACTATTAACTTTGATAAAACCCAGTTTTGATGGAGCAAAGCAGTGCCCTGCATTGAGAGGTAACTGGCAATTAAGAAGATAATAGCAACTAGTGAAGGTTTTTTTTAAAGAGGTATGGTAAGGAAGAGAACACAGGGGATTGTACCCAATTTCTCCTGCTCAATCAACCACCAACTCCTGCACTTTTCATGCAAAAATCTCTCACATCTGTTTGTTTCCTTCCTCACAGCCCCAAGTCTGCCCCCAAAGTTTCATGGAGGAGTCTCCCCAGCACAGGGCCCCCGGGATGTGTGGGGTTTGGACAGGCAGAGAACACAGGGGAAGGATACAAAAGCACAATGGTGGATGGGGCAAAATATCTGGTTTGTCTTCGGGACCACTGAGTTCAGTGGTAAGATTCAGAGACTTCAAAGTCTAGTTGAAGAGGACTCTGAATGCAGGTGATAGATTCCAGCAGGCACTGTGAACTAACTTGAATAAATGAGTCTTTCAGGCAGGCTAACAAGGGCACTTGGCCCTTACAAAGAATAGCAGCAGGGACCCCTGATAAGGCCTTATGCCCCCTCATCTAAACTCTGATTTCTTTCTTACTCAAAATTCTTTTACGACCAAATTCATGATCTTCTAAGGCTAACCGGGCCAACATCCTGTTCACATCAATCTCCTCTTGTGAACTGCAACACTGCTGATTGGCCCACAGCCTTGGTAGTTGACTATTTCAACTCAATTCTAAGTTCGTGGGTGGGTAGGGGTTAGGTTTTCTTTCAACTTAGTCTCAGCACCTCACATAATAATTAGACAGTAAATACTTGTTAAGTTAAAAATTAGCCTGAACACATAATGAGAAGACTAAATGTCTGAAAGAAAATCCCCCAAACATAAGCCATCTCAAAGTCCATGATGTAGATTATCTAAACCTTTGTCCCCAATTAAATTATCCAGCTTCATTTTCTTTGAATGGCTGCACACTATATAATTGTGGGGTGGCAGACCGAAATCCAAATGTTGATATGAAGAGTCTAACTTCATTCTCCATCCGCAGGTGGCTGACCTGTCGGTTACGCTGTACAGACAAGGCACCCTCTTGGAGTTTATACCTTGGATAGAAAATGCATCTTCCCTAATGATGAAGGAGAGCTTGGGTAGAGTAGGCAGATGTCCACTCTTCTGGTGTTTGGGGTAGGAGACATATTTGGCTGGGTTCATCCTTTATTTATTCACACATTTACTGAGCCTCTCCAAACGCCAAGCAAGTTAACAGGTACTGGAATGACGGATTCTCACAACAGTGCAATGACAGCGCTGCTGCAGCTTTGCTCCACACAGTGAGAGAGGAAACATTAGCCACAGGCTTTATTTACAGGGGATAGAGCTTCAGGGGTGGGGGGAAAAAATCAGTAGTCTTGCACCAGCACAATCCTAAATGTAAGGCTAATCTTGTCCATCTCATCTGGGACTGTGGTTGGAAGAACAAATAAATTCTGCCCAAACTTTGTCTACATGCCAAAGATAAGCCAGCTAGTTCAGCTCCTCACCCTTGCTCTTTGTAGGCTCTTGCTCTGGGGATGGACACATTGACTCCAAGGACATCTGCTCTGGCAGCTTCTCCATGGGCTAGATCCAATGTCCGATATTGCTCCAAGGCTGAGATCTCTAAAAATTCTTCAGAACACGACGCAAGAGTCCAGCAGTCACCTCAGGAAAGGGTGAGAGAAGAGGACGGATATAATAAGGGCAACGGTAGATGAAGCTTTCCCAAGAGAGGCTCTCAACCCAGAAGGTATTAGAAACTTCATTCTTGCTCCAGGCAGGACTGGCGAGAGCAACTGCCGCTGACGGTTCTCCGCAAGGCGCAGCCAGATGAGCAGAAAGCGGTGTCCCCGCCTGAGACACTGACGCGACGACGCCCAGCCCGCCCCACGCGGACTCCGGGCGGAGCGCGAGCTCCCCGCCCCGCCGGCCGCGCTCCCTCGGCCCCTGCGCAGCCCTCCCGAAGGCGCCCGCCGCGCCGAGTCGACGCTCGCTCACCCGTCGCCGCGCTCCGCAGCCTCCGGTGGGACGAGCAGAGCCTTGGGGTCCGCGGCGTGCACTTCCGGGGCCCATCTAGGCAGCTCGGAGGCCTAATCTCGATCGCGGGTTCTCTGGGAGCCGCCGGGGAACGTGGTTCAGAGCGGGGTGGGATGGAGGCTCCCTTAGCATTTGTCCTTCACCGAGGAAGGACTGGAGGAAGACGGAACGGATTTCTTTACCTGTCCTTCAGCGCCCAGGTGGGCCTAGAATCTACTTTGGTTGTTTCCTTGGTATCGCCACTGTCCCGGTGTGCTCCCCAGTTGTCCTGCCCGTGACTCCTGCCTTGTGTCACCATTCATTTCCACCGCCCTTGGCGATCACAGGCCAGGATGACCCTGGCGGGCCGGAGCTCCTTCTCGGGTCCCGCCCGTCCTCCCCTCTGCCGCTCCCCCTAGCGCCTCCCAGCTTTGCCTGGAACACACACGTGAGCAGGGGACGGACTCTACTTGGGGGCTGAAGTAGGAAGAAGAGCCTCAGGGAAAGAAAGGGCCAGGATCTAACATCCTACCGGGCCAGGGGCACGGGTCTGCCAGAGGCACTTTCGATATGTTAGAGGACGAAAAGAAGAAAAAAGGTAAAGGAGATGAATTGTTCGTGATAAAGCGTTTCCTGTTAAACTCAGGAACAGCAGCTACCAGTTATGGAGCACTGAAACTGACATCATAATTCCTCACAGCAATCCTATGAAGGTGGCATTTTTGTACTCACATACCAGCAGCTGCAAAGTTAGTGAGCAGCAACTGCAGCATTTGAGTCCAGGCGTCTAACCACATCCATGAAGGCCAGTGGAGAAAGACTGAGTGGAGATGTATAACATGAGCAAATAAGGAAAAGAAAACACAGACGCTTGCAATTATGCCTAAGTTGTAAATTTATAAACATGAATGAAATACAAATATAAGAGGCTAACCATTTTCTAAAAGTGAAGAGAAGTGTTACCAAAGTAATTTAAAAATTCCAATACTTTTTTTCCTGTTGATTTGTAAAGGGCACCCCATCTGTTTGAAATCATTCTTACAGTCTTGGACTAAACACTGGCTCCTTCACAGACTCATATTCTGAAGGGACTGTAAGATGTGATGCCATATGATAAAGAGTGTTAGAAAAAAGAGGCCGATGTCAGTTTGCTGATTCCAGCAGAGTGCCTGTTGGGAGGCAGTTCTTACCACCCCCCAGGATGCCTGATCTTTTCTCCAGTCATATATAAGTGCTCCAAATCCAGGGTTCTCAGACAACGCTAGTCCTACCCTGCTGTCTGCTAATACCTTTTTTATATTTTATACTATCTCCCTTCTGATTGGTCTTTATATGAGTATTTGTATTCATAACATTGTGAGCACTATGTGACCAGTACCTTTTAATTATCTCATTTAGTTTTCATAATGGTATTATTGTGTAGAAAAGGAAATTAGTGAGGTTAAGTAAAATTCCCCATCACACAGCTAATAAACAGTAGAATAAAGCTCAATCATAGGTACATCTAATTCCAGTCACTGCTTTGACTACTACTCTAACCTGTAGTCATCTTTTTCCGATGGACAGTTTAATTCATTAGGTCAACTGTATCCATTGGCTAGCACTGATTATCATAGTGCCTAGAAATTATATTACTGAATGGATGAGGTTACATTTTTAGCTATGGGAATCCCATAGTGCTTTGCTGTCTAGATGACTCTAAGGGCCTCCCTTGAACTTTGTTCTTAAACCTCCTCAGTTGCCCACATACTATTAATATTTACTAGAGTGAGGCATTTCTCCACTTATTCATTACCTTGAAAATGCCATACTTAGTCATCTGTAGGCCTTCTGACATGCCAACCCTTTTGCCTAAAATACTCTCCCTGCTCCTCTTCCCGTGTTTCCCCTTTCTAGGTTACCTCTATCCATCCTTTTGCTCAATCCAACAACCTGGGAATCAAACTTGATTCTTCCCAGGCCAGGCAGCAAGACTGGCAGATCGCTCAAGGTCAGGAGTTGGAAACCAGCCTGAGAAAGAGCAAGACCCCGTCTCTACTATAAATAGAAAGATTAATTGGCCAACAACAACAAAAAAAACATATACATATATATACATATATATATAAATTAGCTAGGCATGGTGGCGCATGCCTGTAGTCCCAGCTACTCAGGAGGCTGACGCAGGAGGATTGCTTGAGCCCAGGAATTTGAGGTTGCTGTGAGGTAGGCTGATGCCATGGCACTCTAGCCCAGGCAAGAGTGAGACTCTGTCTCAAAAAAAAAAAAAAAAAAAAAAACTTGATTCTTCCCATTACCTCTTTACCCAACTGCTGTACTATAACCAGAGATGATAATAAATCTTATGTAATGTGAACTAAAAATAAAATCCTAAGCCCTCTGCTAACTGAATGGACCCCTCACAGCCAAGGGGGCCTGAGAAACGCCTTAATACTGAGTTCTCAGCCATGATGAGATGGGAGATACAGCACAATTACGTGTGATTTCCCTTCATAAATATTCCTGCTATAGCTTGTTAAGCATGTATTACTGTATTTCACCACTCAGCTCAGTATAAAACCCTGTTCCCCTTTTTCTTTGAAGCGTATGTGCCTGGCTTCTGGCTGCTGCTCTACTTCCCAACCTGTTGAAATGGCCACCCAACAGGGGGCTACCCTTTATGAGACATAAAGCTCTTCTTTTTCCAAAGTATAAATCTCATTTATTATTTTTTTGGTTAACATTAAAGAGATATGCACATCAAGTTCTAATTAGCAGGAGAAAATTAAGAACAAATGTGGGGCACTGGGAAATGGGAATGTAAATCTAGTGATGGGCACAGGGGTGTCTTGGCAGGAGATATGAATTTGGGAGCTCTGACCTGTTATTGTCAAAATTGTCTAAGCTGCTAGGTGCTGTGACTCCCACCTGTAATCTCAGCACTTGGGGAGACTGAGGAAGGAGGATCACTTGAGGCAAGGAGAACAAGACCAACGTGGGGCAACATAGTGAAACCCTGTCTCTACAAAAAATAAGAAAATTTAGCTGGAGTGGTGGCATACCTGTAGCCCTAGCTACTTGGAAGGCTGGGGATGGAGGATCACTTGAGCCCAGGAGTCCGAAGCTGCAGTGAGCTATGATCCTGCCACTGCACTCCAGCCTTAGAGACAGAGTAAGACCCTGTATCGAACACAAACAAATAAAGCCGAAGCCTATTTGAAGGAGGGGGATTGACTAGCTCCTAATATATCCCAGAATATCCCCTTACTATCCCAGAGAGCTCAGGGAGCATTTAGGATCGGCTGCAAACTGATGATAATGTCTTCTATACCTTGGTTCCTCTGTAAAATGGAGCTAACTCCCTTGCAGAATTGTTGTGAGAACTAAGTTTGCATATGTTCATACATACATGAACATGGAGGTAGATGGGGAAAGAGAAGATAAATAAATCAGGTGTCCCTATACAATTAGATTTCTTCTTTTCCTTTCCCCTTCAAGACCAAAAAGACTAAGAACACAGGCTCATATTTGGACCAATTAAATATCTGCTTAAAAAGGCAAGTTAATTGCCCTGAAGGATTATTTTGATTTCTCATTTTTAAAAATGTGTTTATTAGGCCGGGCGCTGTGGCTCACGCCTGTAATCCTAGCTCTTGGGAGGCCGAGGCGGGCGGATTGCTCAAGGTCAGGAGTTCAAAACCAGCCTGAGCAAGAGCGAGACCCCGTCTCTACTATAAATAGAAAGAAATTAATTGGCCAACTGATATATATATAAAAAAATTAGCCGGGCATAGTGGCGCATGCCTGTAGTCCCAGCTACTCGGGAGGCTGAGGCAGAAGGATCACTCGAGCCCAGGAGTTTGAGGTTGCTGTGAGCTAGGCTGACGCCACGGCACTCACTCTAGCCTGGACAACAAAGCGAGACTCTGTCTCAAAAAAAAAAAAAAAAAAAAAAAATGTGTTTATTAAGAAAGCAAATTTTTCCTAGTTCTACTGAAACCTCAAACTTTTTACTCTTATTTTATGTACTAATAATATCCCAATTGAATAACCCTTTAAATCCCAAACATTCAGCATTTGATCCAGGTCTGTGGAAAATCAGGGTTTGTATCAATAAAAAGGAGAGTAATCCACTCTTGCTGTGAATCGAGTTTCAGTGAGGAACTGAGTTGCAGCCAAGGTGACTCCAAGATTCCCAAATGCTTCTGGCTGAGGCCTTCAGATTTTTTTGAAACAGATTCTCAGAATATCAAACACACCTTTATTCAAGTGGAAGTACAAAAGAACATTCCTACACCAAATGCATACATGTGATTTTTACATATTCTGCTTTTTAAGGATTATATAATCCTGTTTCACAGTCAGCAAAGGTGGCTACTGGCAAGTATGAGTATACATGTTTGATAGGAAGAAAACATGCATTTTTCATTTGATTTTACATTTAGATCAACTCATTCACATATATATAAATTTCATTTAGATTCCTACCTTGCCTTGATGAGATCCTATTCTTGCTGATGGCTAAGAAGTAAAATATAGTGGCAGAACTATCCTAGAGGTTAACTACAAGAGGCTTAGAAAGTGAGCAATAAATTTTCATATATTTGTTGAAGATTCCTAGTGAATATTATCACATCTGAACTATAAAAGCCTCAATTGGACTAGGATTTTTAATAACACTTGTCTTACTCACTAAATGTTGTAAAACTTAAGGAAAAATATAATAAAATGCTTTGACATGACCTAAGGAATCATGAAGTCTTGGTAGGTATGTGACGGTGACCCTAAACTCTGGGCCAACATCTGTGATCACTTTTATCTATCAAAAAAGCCATGTTCTTTTATATGGTATGTAGACTCCATTAAAATATAAAAATGTGAATGAACAATTATACACAAAGCTCCCACACTTCAAATACTACCCTGGATTGATGAGGGGAGACTGTGGGTAGGGAAATCCAAATAGATAAAACAGCAATCCTAATGGTTAAAATTTTACCAGGAACAAACCTGCCACTCTCTTAAAATACTGTCTCTAAAGACATTACATAAGAACAGGCATTATCTTTGTTGGAATGCTGAATTTCCTTATGATGCTGATTTTTTCATATGTTCTTTATGTTTGCCCTATCAAAAGTAGACCTGAGCATTTTGCTGGCCATAAATAGAGGTATATAAATTCTGAACTTAGGCATGCAGAATAGGCACTAAATGAATGTAGTTAGGCCACTAGGAGTTTTGTTGGCTCCTAGATGTCCTTAGCATCTCTTTTCTCGGGCTACGGATACAGACAAGGCAGGTAAAAACTGGGATGTCACTTGAAAATGTTTAGCTGCCTGCCACAAACTCAGGGAAAACTGAACCCTTCAAACTTATATAAATGGACTGGATGTGGAAGTCCAATTCCTTTAAAAAAAAAAATGCTTCACTTTAGGAAAGACACCAGACCAGTAACATCAAGTACAGACGGCATACCTGCTGGTGAAAAGCTTAAAACTAGGAAACCATCATTTGAAGGTGCTTAAGAGGAAGGAGAAATCAACAGCAATCCAAGTGTTGTGGCTGTAAAGGAATACCATGCAGGGTCCTTTAAAAAGAGCAGGCCTAGGAGTCTGTTTGGGAGAGAACTCAGAAAATAGCAGAAAAAGCTAAATTAGCTACTTGAAGCTGATATTTAACACTGGTGCATTAATGATATCTTTTGGAAGTTGTGAACAATACGAACAAATTTCAAGAAAAATTAAAATGTTTATAGGCCATATTAAAATAAAAAATCGCTGATCCTATAAATAAAATATACATACCTATTTAGGACACTTATTAAATAAAGGAATGCCACTGATAATGGCACTGTAAAGATAATGGCACTGCATTCACCACGTCACTTCTCAGACTAGATTTTTTTGCAATGCAGATTGGGATTATGTTAATATATACTAACAATTTCATATACAAATAATCAACAATTTTCTCTCCAATATCTTGACATTGGGTAAAGCCTGAAATATGGTGTGAAATTTTTCCATTTGCATTATATCAAATTCTCATCTGGTATGGATATTCTGATTGTGACAAAGACTAGATGAACTACAGAAAAGATTTGCCACATTTACTACACTCAAATGCCTTCTCTTGGGAATAGATCCTTTGATACTGAATGAGCACTGGGGTATGACTGAATCTCATTCACACATACATATTTATTACATTCATAAACTTTCAGTATGACATGCATTTAATACCAAACAAGGTAGTTTGACTGATGGCTTTTTCACATTCATTTCAGTAATGGAATTTTATTCCAGTATGAACTTTCCAATTATGACTAAGGTATGAAAATAGCTTGAAGAATTTAACATTCAGTACATTCATAGATTTTCACACTGGTACGGATTTGTGGGAGTTGATTAAGAGTTTAATACTAATAGCTTTCCTACATTTGTCACATTCAAGAGGGTTTCTCTCTGGTGTGAATTCTCTGATGCTGAGTAAGGGTTGAGCTATACTGAAGGCTTTACCACATTCAGTACCTACATGATTTCTCCCTGGTGTGCTCAAATACTGAATGAAGCCTGAACTTGACTAAATGTCTCCCCATGTTCATTACATTCATAAGGTTTCTCTTTGGTATGAATTCTTTCATGCTGAACCAGGTGTGCTCTCTGACTGAAGTTCTTTTCCCATACATCACAATCAAAGACTTTTTGTCTGGTGAGGACTTCTTGTTGCAGGATAAGATCTGAGCTATGACTGAAACTTTCCCCATAATCACTACATTCATATGACTTATCTTTTCTGTGCATTTTGTGATGCTGAATAAGGCATGAGGTTTGACTGAAAGCTTTTCCATATTCATCACATTCGTGTGGTTTCTCTCCTGTGTGAATTCTTTGATGCTGAATAAGATGTGAATTCAATCTGAAGTCTTTTCCACATTCGTTACATGTATAGGGCTTTTCTCTGAAACGAAGTCCTTGATGTTTAATATAGGCCAACCCACACTCATCGTACTCATAGGATTTCGCTTCTTGGTGGACCCTTTGATGTTCAACTAGGTATGAAGTATGACAGAAGTCACTGCCACATACAGTACACTTACAGGGCATCTCTCTGTGAATCCTCTGATGTTGAGTAAGGTGCACACTACGACTGAAGACTCTTTCACAATTGCTACACTTATAAGATTTGGCTCTGGTGTGAATTTTCTTATGTTGAATTATGCCTGAACTTGGACTACAGGACTTATCAGACACTTCACAGGATTTATCAGACGCTTCACATTTATAGGGTTTTTCTCTAGCATGTATTCTTTTATGTCGACTAAGACTTGAGCTCTGACTGAAAGATTTTTCACATTCTTTACATTTGTAAGGTTTCTCTCTAGTATGTATTCTCTGATGTCTAGTAAGGGCTGAGCTCTGAAGGAACATTTTCCCACACGCATCACACTTATAGGATTTCTCAGTGGTAGAAACGCTCTCCCATTCGTTAAGGTGAGAGAAATCCATTAAGCTTTCCTTGTACTCACTATTCTGAAAATTCTGTGTTAAATTTATGTGTTCATGTTTATCAGCAGCTGCATTCTGCTTGAAGCTCATGTCATATTTATCACTGTCATCAATATTCTGTATTCTAAGAACTCTCTGATCTGTACCAATGGTAGAGTCCAGACTGAAGCTTTTTTCAGGTTCACTGCATTCACTGTTCTTCTCACTGGTGAAGGTTTCCTTGCAGATTGTTATTTGCCTAAACTCTCTCTCCAGGAAGAGAAATTTCCTTAGAATTTCCTGAAGTCTTTCTAATCTGTCCTCAGACTTATATACTTCTCTAGTATCAGGAACTTGGGCAATATCCTGTTTGAGTCTTCCTACTCTCACTTTGTATGAATGTACTTCTTCCGAAATTTTCTGCTTAGGAATCAACAGCTTCTCTTCTCTGGTCTCTCCATCTGATACGATATATAAATAGAAAATGCACATGTAATCTGTATCCTGTACATAGAAAAAGAAAACTCAAAGAGAGGAGAAAATGAAACAATGTAGTATCTACAAAGATAAGCAAAGTTTATTTACTCTCAAAAACAGGCACAAAATCTCAAAAACAGGTGTATGGGCATGAATAGGAACAGTGAGATAGGATCCAAATGGTTCAGGGTGTGGTAGAAACAGAGGACATGTTCAGCAGAGTAAGATAAGCAGTTAAGGTGTTTCAAAGGAGATAACAGGGAAATAGTTTAAAAGAATTTTAGATAAGCATCTTAAATAGGGACCTAGTACAACTTGTGCATTAAGGGACTAAATAAATGGACAGGGTCAAACTAAACTGAAAGGCAAAGGAAGGAGCTCTCCATTCTGAGACACAGACAGAGCTCTTCACTTTGAGTGCCAGAGCAGCTACAACTTGGCTCCATAACTGCACTTTACTTCCCTACTAATTCCATTTGATTGATGCTGCCTTACTCACCTGAGTAGTCATCTCTTAAGACTTCTCTATTCTTAGTTTCCAGATCAAAGATCTGTAGATCTTGTTCCAGCTGGGAGATCCCATCAGGCTTGGAAATTGGAAATCCTGATCATAGAGAAGGAAATGGGATGTGGCAATTTATCCCCAGACGCCACACCAGCCACTTTTTATTTTAACTAATGGTTAATAGAGAGAGATAGTAAGTTCTAAGAAGATATTAATTAGGAAGACCAGGAGAGTGAGGAGGGCAACATGCTCTCTACAAGGAGCTCAGATTTGTGCTCTAGAAAGAGGTATGTTAATGGGCAAGATGACTTGAGAGCAGAAGCCAGTCAATTAAACGTTATTCTGACAAGGGAATTTGTGCATGGGTGTGTACCTGTTTTCACAGAAGTTATCATTACCACCTGTTGCCTAAAGATCAATCTTTGTATTAGACTTGGTCTATAAGTATCAAAATGGAGGTTATAAAAATATAATTTTGCTGAACTAGAGAAAGGCGAAACTTTAGCACCTGCTGCAGCATGGTGAGCTAAACTATAGCAACAGAATCAATGAAAACTGAATAAATATTCCAAGGACCAATCTCAAGAAACAATTAGTTTCAGTGCATATACAGAAACTAAGAATAATATGACACACCCTTACCCATTAGGAGCTTACAATTTACTCAATGAACATTTAAGGAGTGCCTCCTACGTGTGAAGTATGCAGAGGATAAAGAGCCCAAGCGAAAGGTCCATCTCCTCAAGGACCTCACACTCTACAGAGACAGCTATGAACAACTAACTACAGAAATGTATAGAAAGGAGAATGCCATAAAAGTGTATCTTCACATAAAATGGTCTTTCCATGGCTTGCATAATGGACTGCTTCACTCTAAATTTCTTTTAAAGCTAAAGCAACACGCAATCTGCTTCTGAGGGGACAGAACTTGATACTATTGGTATCAAAGGGCAATTTTTATATGTTTAGCCTAGAAAGCTTCTAGCAGCACACATACAAGGTCTAACTCAAGCTCCTCATCTCCAAAAGTCTCTCCATTTACTGAAGGTCTATAATATTTACTATTTGTTTCCCTTATCTTGACATATCACTACATAATGGCATTTATACAGATGTTTTAAAAAGTGGTTTTAGGTATTATCATCCCTACTTAATTTATAAATTCTTTGATAGCAGTGACCATGTATCTTATATCTTGCACTCCTTTTGATTCATTTACTTAATAGCTATTTATCAAGTGCCAACTTATGCCCAAGTGTCAATATATGAACAACTACCCAACTTTATAAAAAGGACATTGGACTGGAAAATATGATGAACAGCTGCCCCACCCCCTGGGATCCCATGTGAGAGCCTATCAGCAAGTGATTAGAACAGATATAAGAACACTATTTATTGTGTTTCTGAATTCATGCTGAGCATTAATAGAGTCAGTTCTCTTTTTGGACACTAAGGTTCTCATGTCAAATGTTTTGCAAGTTTAATAAAGAGTGTGACATAAAGCAGCAATATTGTGCTCAAAATTCCAATAACATAATTTGCAACTTTTAAACTTTGAGATATCAAATACTGAGGTGTTTCTCAGTATTTGATAACTGAAACAAATTTTGGTTATTTACTCTGTATATTTAAAACATATGCACAACAAAAAAGGTTGTCTTCATGTGATATAAGGGGTTTGATTTCAGACTTGTGTTTAAGGTAATGAAGGAAGGTATAAGAGAAAATGCGCAGCAGGCAATTAGAGATACAAGAATATAGTTTAGAAAGAGAACAGAGTTCAAGATATAAATGTAAAGTTACCTGTATCATCAGTATCATAAAAATATTAAGGTTTAGCAAGTACTTGGTAGGTGCAAAGTATCATGCCGAGAGCTTTACCAGTTTTCACTGGTACTCACCAAAACCATTATTTTTTTTGAGACAGAGTCTCACTTTGTTGCCCAGGCTAGGGTGAGTGCCGTGGCGTTAGCCTAGCTCACAGCAACCTCAAACTCCTGGGCTCAAGCAATCCTTCTGCCTCAGCCTCCCGAGTAGCTAGGACTACAAGCATGTGCCACCATGCCCGGCTAATTTTTTCTATATTAGTTGGCCAATTAATTTCTTGGTATTTATAGTAGAGAAGGGGTCTTGCTCAGGCTGGTTTCGAACTCCTGACCTGAGCAATCCGCCCGCCTTGGCCTCCCAGAGTGCTAGGATTACAGGCATGAGCCACCACGCCCAGCCTTATACTCACCAAAACCTTTATCAGGTAAAAACGATTATCATATCCACTTTACAAATGGGAATACTAAGATTCAGAGATTCAGAAGTAACTTGCCCATGGTTATAATAACTGGTGAAGCTACCTTTCAAACTCAGACAGCCCTATTTCACAACCTGGCTTTTAAACAAACTACTAGTAAAAAATAATGATTATGAATAAAATCCATCCTTTCCTCCAAAATACTTACAGAAAGAGAAGAAGACCAATATACTGCCGATGGAGTAAAAGATAAAAACAATATAAACAACAAAGAAAAAGTGATTAGAATGACACACAGAGAGCCAGGATCCTAAGGATTTGGAGTCAAAGAGTTTTAATTAAAAGAGATCATTGGTCAGGCATGGTGGCTCACACCTGTAATCCTAGCGCTCTGGGAGGTCGAGGCAGGAGGATCACTTGGGGTCAGGAGTTCGAGACCAGCCTAAGCAAGGGTGAGACCCTATCTATACTAAAAATAAAAAAATCAGCCAGGAGTGATGCATGCACCTGTAGTCCCAGCTACTGGGGAGGCTGAGGCAGGAGAATTGTTTGAGCCCAGGAGTTTGCTGTTGTTGTGACCTAGGCTGATGCCATAGCAACAGCCTGGGCAACAGAGTAAGATGCTGTCTCCAAAAAAAAAAAAAGAGAGAGAGAGTAAAGAAAAAGAGAGAGAGAGAGAGAGAGAGAGAGATATCATTCCTTCTCAAAGAAATGCAAATCTTTTTAAAATAAAAATCCAAACCCTTAGACAGTAGTTCAAGCAATATTCAATTTGAAGAAATTCCACTATAAAGAAATAATTTATAGGCAGGTCTATGATTTAAAAAAAAAAAGGAAAAAAATCAAGAAATAATTTGTACACACTCCTCAAATTTTTATTTGTATTAAAAATTGGGTCTATAGCTCATATCATTTGCTGTTCTTTCAAAAATATTAAAGTAACTAGCATGGGCCAGGTACTTAATACATAATCTAATTTAATTCTCATACAACCCAGAAAGGTAAACATCATTTTTCATGTTTTATATGTGAAGTATGAGACTAAATAATTTGCTGAACATATTACAGCTAGTAAGTGGAACCCAAGTTTGATTCCTCAGTTTATATCTTCTCTAATCAATCATACTGCCTGTCACAAAAAGCATTAAAACAAGTTTTCTTGCCATTGACCCAAATGCCTTTTTCCAAAATTTAACTCAGAACTTTATGCTTTCAAAATATGCACTTGCTTTAAATTTTTCCTACTTAAAATTAATTTTTTATTAAAACATCTTGATTTTATTTAAATATTGAGAGTTTTTTAATAAGATTTAATCTGGTCTTTAAAAATAACATTTAAAATTTAACTTATTATTTGGTTTGCCTCTTTTACCGGAGCTATGCTAAGATTTTAGCATCTGGAAGCATCATGCTTTTCTTCCTTGTCCGTAATAAATACACAAATAAAATCTATCCTTAGCAATATCACTCTTTTGTAGATACCTGTGAGTACTGCAATGTATCCTTTGGATAGTTTTACTTGTATGTCCTTTCTTGTCAAACTGTATAAACTGGTCTAATTTATCATGGCCATTTGAATTTTTCTTATAATTAGAGTACAGACAACTCATTAAAAATATAAAAAACTCCATTCACAGACTAATTTTCCTAAGGCACAAAATAGTGAAAAAGAACATGGGCTTCAAAGACATGTCTGGATCCCAAGCCTATCACTGACAGTGCAAAGATCACTTAACTATTCTGAGCCTCAGTTTCCTCAGATATAAAATAGGAGTAACATCATTTGCTCACAGGGTTATGCTAAGGATTAAATGAGAAAAAAAAATATATATATATATATATGTATGTATGTATCTAGTAACACACTGGCTGCTCAGGAAATTGTAAATAGCTGTGAAACTATTGGAAATTGTAAATAGCTGTGAAATAGCTTTGACAAGCATGTTTCTAAAGCCATCTTCTGATAGGGTACCTGCCACACTGACCCATGTGAAATGCAACCCAGTTCCCTGAGTCACCAACACAATGTTCACAGGTAACTTCTCTATGAGTATGACGCTCAAGCCAGTTATTCATTCACTGTCAATAGAATATGCTTCTTTTTTGATTTGGTAATGAAAATTATTTATTACCTACTTTTTTTTACCCAGGTGTTTATACTCTGTATATTTACTATTATGTAGTGGAAGCACTTAACCAAAGGACCAAAATTCTGATGTCTGTGACAAATACAATCCAGAGCTATTGCCATAGGAAAAAGACATGAACTAGAAAGTGGGATTGCTAAGTCAGGGACTGAATTATAAAGTCTAATTTTACAACTCCAAACAGTAAATTAAGTTAATAAATGTATAAACTTAAATTTCAGGTAGAGTTAGCTGAATCCACAAATATGAAAATGACTTCCGAAGGTTTGTAAAAATGATTGTTAAGGAGATATTGCTGACTTGGTCACAAAAGCAAGTTAAGTAGGAGAGTTTCCTGTGTGCGTGTGTGCCTGGTATGTGTGAGCATGTATGCATGTCCTGTGTCCATGCAGAGATGGCAGAGGAAAATGGGAAAAGTTCAGTCTATAGCATGCTGTGCTATTAGACTGCATTAAACTGCTACCAAGTTTCTTTACTCCAAAAAGTAGACAAGTTAACTGTTGGAAATTCTGTAATTATTAGGTAAAATTAACAGTAGTTTACAATTATATCACTTTACAATTTACAAAGTTATTAAATAAACATTCCTTTTGATATCCTGAAATAAAGAAATGTAACTTTTCTGCCCTCCATTTGCCCCTCCATCAAGGACAGTGCTAAGGAACAATTACTCAGGATAAAGGTAATATAAATGCATCAATGTGTATAGTAACACAAAGAATAAAAGGGAGGAAGGCAGGACTTTCAAAAGGGAGAAAACTAGAATGTTAAACATGAGGAAAGCCCAGGGGTTGCAGGAGAGTTAGGCAATATAAAGGGGCGGGTAGTGTCCACTACATAAAAGGAGAGGCACACAGCACATGTTCCACATTCTAAAATAACATGAAAAGACCATAACTGAAGAGCTGAAGTTGAACTCTGTGGTTTCTCAGAACACAAGCAGATGACCACCAACCATGGTTTGTGAATGAACTGGCTTCAAAATACATCTGGTTGCAACAGAGGGCTTCCTGGCCCCTTACATTAGGAATTTAACAAAGGTCATTTGAGGAGCTGCAATTTTACATAGTGGTGGCATCCTGGGGAGCTTCTATTCCAGCAGTCAAGTTTAATATCTTACAATCGTGGAAAAGGAGTTTCCGAGCAGGGATGAGAAATATCGATGGGAAGCCGATACTTGGGCCATCTCTTGGAGATTCCTGCTTTAAGGACTGCAAGTGTTTCTCCAGAGAAAGCACTTGCCTGGGTATGACTCAGGGCCGGGCAGGAATTCACACTATGAATCCGGGTGATGGGAAGGCGGAGAAGTATGCCTATAAAGATCAAAGAGCCAGGAATGGAAAACACACAAAAAACCTTCTCAGTGGGCAGGCTGCCTCCCCACAGATAATACTTTTTGAATCCTGAGCGTAATCAGGGAGACAAGGCAATGCCCTAGATGCCACCATCACAGGCAAAGCCAAAAAAAACGAAAAGAAAAAGTGTTCTAAATACATATATATACACAAAAAGAAGAGTGCAGAAGCAGAAACAGGCAAAAAAAGAAAGAGAAAAACGAACAGTAGGAGGCAGCCAATAACCCCTATTGATCCATCTCATCATACGTTCCTAATCCCAGCCACCTATTGTACCATTCAAAATGACAAAAGAGGCCAGGCACGGTGGCTCACGCCTGTAATCCTAGCACTCTGGGAGGCCAAGGCGGGAAGATTGCTCGAGGTCAGGAGTTCGAAACCAGCTTGAGCAAGAACCCATCTCTACTAAAAATAGAAAGAAATTAACTGACCAACTAAAAATATATAGAAAAAATTAGCTGGGCATGGTGGCACATGCCTGTAGTCCCAGCTACTCGGGAGGCTGAGGCAGAAGGATTGCTTGAGCAACCCAGGAGTTTGAGGTTGCTGTGAGCTAGGCTGATGCCACCACACTGTAGCCCAGATAACACAGTGAGATTGTCTCAAAAAAAAAAAAACAGCAACAACAACAACAACAAAATGACAAAGGAGAGACATGGTTTAATAACTGACTCCACTAAATGTCTGAAACTTCTGCTGCCCTGGGTGTGGTTTCCTGGGATTAGTATCTGGGTGACTCACTGAAATGTACTCACAGTGAGTGATGCCTTCAAATGAAGTATTTCAAATTCTGCCTGCTTGGAGATAAATTTTGGGTCTTAAAAGGTGAGGGACTACTCAACAAGAAGGATTTTAACTCATCTTTTAAAAAGGCATTTCTTCTTTCTAGGAAAATGGAAAACTCTCAGATATAGGGGCACTAAGATACCATAGAGAAAGTGTCTGACTGAGGGTTGGGAGGCCACCCAGGGTCTCACCTATAAAAAGGAAAAGACAGGGAAGAGGAGAAGTCAGGCAAAGCACAAGAAAGTTTCCCTTTGCTAACAGGGAACAGATGCCCCACAAAAGTAGGAAATATGGGGATAAGAAGTAGAGTGTATTCTCTTGACCCTCTCAAAGGAACCTTAATCACCCCTCCAAGAGGAGGTGACCTTAAAGACAGAGGATTCAAAGGTTTTAAGACCTGGAATCAAAACCACACTCTCCTGACCTTAAAGACCACACAGAAACAAGAAAGTAAAGAAATCCAAATAGGTAAATCAAATAATAAGGTAGTCCTTACCCAGTGAGACCACGTTCCCATAATTCTCTAACATCACTTCTCTGTAGAGGTCCCTCTGAACAGGGTCCAGGTATCCCCATTCCTCTCGAGTAAGGTGCACAGCCACATCCTCGAATGTCACAAACTCCTGAAATAACACATCCTGGCTGCTCTGGGGAATGAGACCACTGTAGCAACATGGCCAGAGAATGAGATGAAAGAGAGGATATCCAGTGTGTATTTACGTTGGGAAGGAGGGAGAACAGATTAGAACCTAGGGAATAAATCCCATAACCCTTATACATCTAATAAGTGCCCATCACAGAACCATGGACAAAGAAGGAACAGTGTTTGCACATGGTATTGGGGAGATGGAAAGGTGGTCTGTGTGACATCCAGATCTCTGAACAGGATCGGTTCCCAAACTGGGATCTACTACTAAAAAAAACTCCAGGCAAGGTCTACAGATGAGATGAGGCAGAGGCCACAAACTCCATCAGCAGTAACAGTCCCTGAGGAAAAACAGAGGGTTCCTCAGCTCACCTGGTACCTGGCTGTCATGAGCGCAGCTGCCTGGTCTCCTGGGCTTCCCTCATGGGGAAGAGCAGGCACCTGGGGAACAGGTGGAGCTGAGGGAGGAGAAAGGAGCCAAGAGTGAGAGCAGCCCTTCCCCAGGGCTTCCTTTCAGAAGAGGCCTCTCCAGCCCAAAAGCGTCAGTGGGACCCGCCTTCACATCAATATTCCAGTAAAACCAATGAACAATTATCAGGTACTGGGTGGGTCTACCCTGTTCCTTCTCAGTACCTGCATGCCCTACTTATGCATGTTTAGACCTGTGATACACAATTTTATTACGAAATCTTGTTTCACTTTATCCTCATGGCATAACATACCTCTCACAGAAGCATAAGCACTATACCTGTTCTGCAGATGGGCAAAGCAAAGCAAAAAGATTTGCGGTGACTTGTCGAGGGCCAGAGTAATTAGTAGATTTCTGAACCTTTTCCAGACACTGTTCTGTAAACTTCACTAAGCTTCTCTCTTTCACTGTCTCTGCAACCAGTACGGGAAACCCACAAGAACAAGGAACGTTGATATTTCCTCACAATCCTTTCCACACTCCCACAGTGCCCAACAGCACTCTACACACTGTGGCACTCAATCTGTGTTGCTGACACACAAGTTATTTTAAGCACTGGAGTTGGGCACAAGCAATCAAAGACATAGTTCTTACAAAACAAAGGAAGAAAAAGACCAATCTGACAATACATAAAAATGTAATTATATAGTCAAAATGTAGTATGTATACATTTATACAGGCATTGTGCACAATCAAGGAATTTAAGGGTTGCTTTCTTAAGGGCCAAAATTAAATTAGTCACAAACACTGAAATTACAACAGAATGGCAGGTAGCAAAGCAAAGGAAAGAGAAACTAAGTGAATGGAACAGGGGGAGGGGAAAGGTCCTGAATCTAAGAGGAAGTGAGAGCTAGGCAAGGATTGTGAGATGTGGCAAAAGCAGCATATCTCAGAAATTATTCTGGATGTGGTAACTGGGATGAAGTGAAGGTTATCTGACGGAAAAAAAAGCCAAAGCAGAGTGACTACCACTCTGCTAATTAAAGAAAGACAAGCTGTCCTTAATAAAGGGGCCCCGCCCAGGACTGAACTGAATCACAACAGCCCCTCCCTTCCAGTCCTCCCTCTGGGGCCATCTTCTTATTCAAGTCCCTGGCCTCTTTCATACCAGGCCCAGGAGCCCCCTCAGGAGGCCCTCTACATGCCCATTCTCCTGGATGTAAGTGCTGTCTCTGCCTTACCCCCAATGAGTCCCTGTTCCATGTCGGTGTCCTGTATGAACTGAGGCTCTGGGGATAGACCCTCAGACTGGGTCTCCAAAGACTGAAAGTGGATCCTTGATGATCCTGCTGCTTCCTGGGCCAACAGTTCCTCCATCGCTATTCTGGAGGACAATGACCATCACTGTGAGGTGAGATTAAGAGAAATTACTATAATAAATTAAAATATCCCATCATTTTATATCCTCAGGACTTAGCAAAGTATCTTATGCACTGTAAATACTCAATAAAAAATAGTTGATAATGATTAAACACTCAAAATAAATAACAGAAAGAAAAATGCATATTATTCGGTTTCAAATACTTAAGAACCAAATCATATGATCCAAGTATGCAGGTTTAATCAAACTTTACTAATTCAGAATTTGTGGTATAAAAAAAATCAACACAGTACAATTTAAAAGTGTAAAGCTTTCTCTGGAAAGTTTAAAATATTTAAAATTTGAAACAACCTTTGGAGACTCAAGTTTGTAGCCAGAGGAATACGCTAGTTAGCATTGCTCATTATTTTTTTTTTAAAGGAGGCCCCTTAGGAATTACTTGGTAACAGTCTGTCAGCCCACTTTGAATTACTAAATGGGCTTGACTAATAATAAAACTCCACTTTTGGGGTCAGATCCTTTGCTAACGCAGACTAGGTGGGCAGGCCTTTTCCCACAATCCTGAGGTAACACAGAGAAGAGCTGTGATTCAAACAGGTTTAACTGGTGTCCTTCATACCCAAGGACGTGACACGGTTCCCTCCTCCTTCCACACCTCACTAAGGGCCCCCGCCCAGCTCCTGTTTGGTCCTCAGAAGGCCTTGCCCAGCGCTGCTGTCCTCTTCCCACTTCCCTTTTAGTGAGACGAAGACACAGTCCCAAAGGGCCTAGGCGCGCCATACGGACCCAGCTCACACTAGAGCACCGGGTCCTACGGTGGGGTCACCGGGGCGGGACTGGGGACCCTCAGTCTGAGGGGCGAACCAGGACTGAGGAAAAACAGGCCCTCACATCCGGGCCTCCGCGCGCTCCTGGGGAAGGGAACCGCCGCCGGCCGGGGCCAGGCGCTGCATCCTCCTACTCCGGGGGAGACGAAACAAGTGGCCGCCCCTCTACGATCCCAGAACGGCTTCTGAGTACTCACCCGAGCGAAGGCGCGGGCCCGGCGGCCGTCCGGTCGCGGACACTCTCACTCCCTGGGGCACCACAGCCTTTCCGGGGCCGCTCTAGACTGCAGAGAGGCCGACGCTTCTGGCGTCACTTCCGGCGGCGGAGGGCGGGCCCGGAATGTGGGCCCCGGATCGGGGGCTGGAACTGGGTTTGGGGCCTCAGATCCTTGTTTACCTTTTTTTTACTTGTTCTTTTCCGGTCTTACCGCCCTCACTACTAACCGCCAGGCATGTCTGGCCGTTATACCAGTGACTACTACTAACTGGCCGTTATACCAGTGACGACCGTGACCGACGTTGGGAAAACGCCCGTGGCCCTACTCTGACGCCAGCCGACCTTTGAGAGTCCCCGCAGGGAGGTGGCCGGCCCAAGTGGGTGCGCATCGAGGTGGTGGGGGGAGGAATGGCTGACCTAATGGTCGGACTTCTGTGAGTTGGCCGGTTGGAAACTAGCACAAGGGGGCCTGTGCAGAGTGTAAAATAACTCTGATTACTGTGAGGCAAGGACCACAAAGTCGTCAGATCGAAATCTACTAAAGTCCTTGGGGAAAGCCGGGGCGGCATTGAGCAAGCTAGAATGAAAGAGAAACTGAGGACCGAGACTGGAAGAGAACTACATTCCTGGTGGAAAGATTAAACTAGGCAGAAACAGGGATAGGTAAAGCATGGCAGCGCTGATACAGAAACCGTTAGGGCATTGTGACCCAGCACCCTCGCCCTGGATTCTTAGAGAATGTGACGTTTTACGGATGGAACGAGATCTGCTAGGCACAGACAAGCCTCTTAGAGAATCAAAAATGTGATTTGGAAGGAGCTTTAGATGTTACTTCTTTATTTAAGCAAATCAAATGCTGTCATTTAGTGTTATTTGACATTTCATATTAAGTATAAGAAAATCTGAAACGTGGCACTGTATTCTATATGCTTTTTCTAATTGCATCAGCTTCTGGGAGATTCTGGTATGCCTTTCCTCTCTTTCCCTCTTGTGTACCATTGTTATGATCTAACTTCATACTATAACACAGTCTCTCTATAGTCTCCTCATCACAATGGATTCCGGATCAGAGAAAGAAAACTGCTTAGTCCATTGCTTGCTGGACAGCTCCAGTTAGAAACTTGTCTTGAACAGAAATGTTCCCCCTGGTGATGTCTGTCATTTCCCTGGGACAACAGATGACACATTGCTCCCTCCTTTTCATAACCACTATTCTAATATCCTAGGATAGCTGTAGGTTTGGAGATCTTTCCTGAGTTGCCATTTCCCAACCCCAAAGCTCCTCACAGGTTGTACCTATCACAGAGTGGTGGGAAACAATTTCTGCAGCAAAGGTGAGCAAATTATTGTATCCTAGTTTTAGCTGACTCAATTTGCTCCAGCGAGAGGACCACAGGAGGTACCCATCTAAAAGTCCATTTCCCACCAAGAGTGTCCCACCATAACAAAGAGTGGTTAGAAATAATAACTACCATTTCATTTTTCAACAAAATTTCCTTTCAACAGTTCTCCAGACACCACGGGTGGAAACAATTAACCAACTCATAAAAATTGTGATTTTTAGCTTGAACTGTACTGCTTTAAAGAAAATATATGTGTGCTTGTAGTCCCAGCTACTGGAAAGGCTGAGACAGGAGGATCACATGAGTCCAGGAGTTTAAGGTTGAAGTGAGTTATAATGATGCCACTGTATTCTAGCCAGGTGACAGAGGGAGACTCTGTCACAAACAAACAACAAACAACATTAGGGATTAGGATGAGGGATCAGGCATCTGGTCTCACGGTGCTGACGTGTTAGTGATGCTTGTAGCATGGTTATAAGTTTAGATTTTAAGTAATACAAAAGGTCCAAGGTGTCATGAACTCCAAAGCCATATTGTCCAAGTGTGCTCTACTCCCTGAACAGAATCACCTGACCTAACATCTGCAGTGTAAAGCAGATTGCTGCCTCCCCAAACTTGCCCATGTCTTAATCACTGGAATTTAGGAATATGTGTACCTTACAGGGCACAAAAGGGCTTTGCAGATATGATTATACTAAGCCTCTTGAGATAAGAAGACTATTCTGTATCATCCAATAGGGTCAGTGTAATCACGGGCCCTTACGAGAGGGAGGCAGGAGTGTTAGAGAAATTTGAAGATGTTAAAAGTGAAAAGTGAAGGAAAGTGGCTTTGAAAGTGAAGGAAAAGGCCAAGAGCCTTGGAATGCAGGCAGCTTTTAGAAACTGGAAAAGGTAAGGAAACAGATTCTCCCCTAACGTTCAGCAGGAGTACAGTACTGCTGACGCATTTTAGACTTCTGACTTCCTACCACTAAATCTGTGGTAATCTGCTACAGCAGCAATGAGAAACTAATAGTCATTATAGAAAAATCAATCATCTTTATATATATGTGGGCCACAAACAACTGGAAAATGAAAAAAAAAAATTTTTTTGAGACAGAGTCTCACTTTGTGGCGTCAGTCTAGCTCACAGCAACCTCAATCTCCTGGGCTCAAGCGATCCTACTGCCTCAGTCTCCCGAGTAGCTGTGACTACAGGCACGTGCCACCATGCCCGGCTAATTTTTTGTATATATATTTTTTAGTCGGTCAATCGTTTCTTTCTGTTTTTAGTAGAGACGGGGTCTCACTCAGGCTGGTTTCAAACTCCTAACCTTGAGCAATCCACCCGCCTTGGCCTCCCAGAGTGCTAGGATTACAGGCGTGAGCCACCACGCCTGGCTGGAAAATGAAAATTTTAAAATAGTACTATTTACAATAACACCAGCAAATGTAAAAAACTTAGGAATGGATTTTAACAAAAGATGGACAAGACCCTGTCATTTAAAATTATAAAAGATGTGTCTTGTCCATTTCCTTAAAAAAGAGAAATAAAATTATAAAAGAGGGGAATTTTTAAAAGACCTGAATAATTCGGCATGCAAAATCCTGTCGAAAAAAGAAAAAAAAAATATAAAAAAAAAAAAAAAAAAAAAAAAAAAGACCTGAATAATGAAGAGATCTAACATGTACTGGTATCGGAAAAATCAATATTGGTACAATGTCAGTTTCTCCCAAATTGATCTATATATTCAACATAATACCGACCCAAATCCCAGCAGGTTTCTTTAATAGAAACTGAAAAACTGATTCTGAAGTTTATCTAGAAATGCTAAATATTTAGAATTGACAAAGCAATTTTGAAAAAGAGTAAAATTACAGTACTTATATGATTTTAAGACTTATGAAACTAAAGTAATCAAGACAGTATTATATTGGCATAAAGATAGACTGAAGCAGAATAGAAAGTCCAGAAATATACCTAGCTGTATACAGTAGCTGATTTCTGATAAATTACCATGTAATTCTGCAGCTAGAAAGGCTGAGCTGAAAATGAAGCCTAGAATCTGTCTATAACAGGGGCAGTAATGCAAAGAAAATCAATTGTGCAGCCTCAACAGGTCCGCTGAGTTACAGTCAGGGCTCATACAGGGAAACAGTGGGATCTCAAGACCTGTTCTGTGTCACAGTTTGTCCACAGGAACCATTATTCACCATCATGTTGGTCCACCATACTGATGACAAATGCTAAATGTATCCAGTGGGCAGCATGTGACAAGGATCATAGATGTTCTAGCAAGACATCTGACTGAAGGAGTACATAAACCTGAAGATTCAGAGACTTGTGAAATTGGTGCCTTTTGGGGGGGCTGGGGGGCTGTTCCAATGGTCCAGGGAATGTAAGGACATCACCCAAAGGTAAAGGACAAGTTGTTTCATCTTTTCCCTCCTAATCCCAGAGAAATTGGCATAGTGCTTGGTGGGCCTCTATGGATTTTGGAGGCAGCACATACGGCACCTGGGAAAACTGTTTCAACCTACATATCAGGTAACCTGGAGGGCTTCTACTTTTTAGTAGGGCTCAGAGCAAGAGAAGGTTCTATAATAAGTCCAAGCAACAGTGCAAGCTTACTTGCAAATACAATGGTTCCAGAAATATATCTGGTAGATACAGATTCTGTATGGAGTCCCCTGGCAAGCCCCAATAGGAGAGTGTATTAGTTTCCTACAACTGCCATAACAAAATATCATATACTGGGCAGCTTAAACAACAGAAATTTATTGGCTCATAGGTTGGAGGCTAGTAGTCAGACATTAAGGTGTGGTTCCTTCTGACAGCTATGAGGAAGAATCTGTCCATGCCTCTCCCCTAGCTTCTGGTGGCTTGCTGGCAGTCTGGCATTCCTTGGCTTTGTAGAAACATATCCCCAGTCTTTGCCTTCATCTTCACTTGGCATTCTCTCTGTACACTATGTCCAAATTTCCCCTTTACATAGGATTAGAGCTCACATCCAGGTGCCCCCTCCAAAAAAATACAAAAAATAGGCCGGGCGCTGTGGCTCACGTCTGTAATCCTAGCTCTTGGGAGGCCGAGGCGGGCGGATTGCTCAAGGTCAGGAGTTCAAAACCAGCCTATATATAGAAAGAAATTAATTGGCCCACTGATATATATATAAAAAAAAAAAAAATTTGCCGGGCATGGTGGCGCATGCCTGTAGTCCCAGCTACTCGGGAGGCTGAGGCAGAAGGATCGCTCAAGCCCAGGAGTTTGAGGTTGCTGTGAGCTAGGCTGACGCCACGGCACTCACTCTAGCCTGGGCAATAAAGCGAGACTCTGTCTCGAAAAAAAAAAAAAAAAAAAAATACAAAAAATAAAAATTTCCCAAACAAGGATGATGGTCATATTAGATCAGGGACCCACCCTGCTCTAGCATGACCTTGTCTTAAGAAATTACTTCTGCAATGATCCTATTCCCAAATAAGTTCACATTCTGAGATGTTAGGGGCTAAGACTTCAACATGTAAATTGGAGGAGGAGTGGGGATACAATTCAAGCCATAACAAAGAGTTGTGACACAAATACCTAAGGTTCTGGAGCAAAGACATGCCTTTTTTTTTTTTTTTTTTTTTTTTGAGACAGAGTCTCGCTTTGTTGCCCAGGCTAGAGTGAGTGCCGTGGCGTCAGCCTAGCTCACAGCAACCTCAAACTCCTGGGCACGAGTGATCCTCCTGCCTCAGCCTCCCGAGTAGCTGGGACTACAGGCATGCGCCACCATGCCCAGCTAATTTTTTATATATATATATCAGTTGGCCAATTAATTTCTTTCTATTTATAGTAGAGACGGGGTCTCGCTCTTGCTCAGGCTGGTTTTGAACTCCTGACCTTGAGCAATCTGCCCGCCTCGGCCTCCCAAGAGCTAGGATTACAGGCGTGAGCCACAGCGCCCGGCCTAAGACATGCCTTTTAAGGCAAGAAAAAATAAACACCCTTCATTTTAAAAAGGTTCTGGCATGCTAACAAACTTCATAGGGGTTAAAACTTTGACCTTAGCTCATGACTATGCAATCTGAGCTACCTATCATGAGTTGTGTGTTTTTGTTTTGTTTTTGTTTTTGTTTAGAGACAGAGTCTCACTCTGTTGCCCTGGCTAGAGTGCCATGGCGTCAGCCTAGCTCACAGTAACCTCCAACTCCTGGACTCAAGCAATCCTCCTGCCTCGGCCTCCCGAGTAGCTGGGACTTCAGGCATGTGCCACCATGCCCGGCTAATTTTTTTCTATATATATTAGTTGGCCAATTAATTTCTTTATATTTATAGTAGAGACAGGGTCTCACTCTTGCTCAGGCTGGTTTCGAACTCCTGACCATGAGCGATTCCTCCCACTTCTCCTCGGCCTCTCAGAGTGCTGGGATTACAGGCATGAGCCACTGCACCTGGCCAAGTTGTGTGTTTTTACATACACCAAATCATAAGGTACAGCAAGTGCAGCAGTAATCCACCATGTGAAAGATGTAGTATATTTGGAGTCTGGCTTAAACAAGTCAAGAAAGCACAAATAAGTCACATGGCCTGGACTCCCACATCACTTACTTCTCTGCCCCACTGCCACCTCACCCATTACTTATACCTATGGCCTTACAGAAGTTCTCTACAACCAACATGTAAGCTTGAGGGCTTACAGGATGCCTTATCCATTGACATACCTTAAACTAAGGAATCCATTTAATAGCCAAAGAGGTGTGATAATAAAACTACAGAGTTCATGGTACTTACTAATCATATAGAAGCAGCTAGCCACATAGAACTTTGGAATGGCCTACTGAAGACTCAGCTAAAATGCTAAGATACAATGTTTTGCAAAGTTGGGGAGCTGTCTTTCTGGATGCAGATGCATGGGACTAATATAGGTATATAGTACCATGTTTCCAACAGAAAAACTACATGTGTTCAAGAACCAAGAGAATGAAACAGGAGTATCCCCTGTTACTGTTACACCTGGTAACCCAATTGTAGAATTTGTGCTTTCTAGCTCCAAGATCTAGAGTCAGCTGGGTTATAGTCCTCATTCCCAGGAAGAACATTTCCTTTAATAGACACTGTAAGTGTTCCACTGAACTGTAAACAGAATACTACTGGGCCACTTTTAGGGCCCCCACAGTCCATGCCACCCACACTACATAAATACAAAAGCTTACACTCTGCCAGCTGCATTCAGTAATATACCTTCCCGAACCCTTTAGGCAGGGGTCCTCAAACTTTTAAAACGGGGCCAGTTCACTGTCTCTCAGACCATTGGAGGGCCGTTGGAGAGCGCGGCGCACATTCCACACATGCACACTGTGGGCCCAGGTCGAGTTGGCTGCTAAGCAAGACAGGCATCTGGGACAAAAACACCCAGTGGGCCTGATAAATTCCTTGTCGGGCTGCATGTGGCCCAAGGGCGGCAGTTTGAGGACACCTGCCTTTAGGCATTTCAATGTAGGAATGGAGACAGGGTGGGGAGGAGAGACTGGTTTAGATAAAGAAAAAAAATACAATGCATAATAATGCTCTTAGAGATGAGTTGGAACACTGGAAGAAAATACGAGGATGTAGCTGGAGGAATAAGTTCTGCGAATATGATGTCATCAAGGAGTCAGCCAGCCATTGATAAAGGAGTAAAGGCACACTCAAGTAGATTATTGGAAAGAGTCTTGGGGAAGTAGAAAAGGCAGAAAATAATGGCAACCATGGCAGGATCAAACCTCATAAGGAGTGAAACATTGGTCAGGACTTAGAAGATAATTCAGGATACCACCTAGTGGTAGGCTCTGTAGGTAAGCTTACATAGGTAATCTCTGTAACCGGTGGCTGTTCCTTTTGTGGGCTTTTCCATTTTGAGCTAGCCATTCAAGGTCTCAGTTAATGTTTTATAAAAGGCGAAGTTATTCTTGATCTACTCAGGAAGTAATGGTAGAAACTATACTTATTGTAATAACATTTTGACAACAAAAATGCCTCCAATTCAACTTAATGTACTAATTTCACTATCTTTACTTTGAAAACTCCCTGGAAACGTTAGCCACGCTCAGAATCTCATAACTATCTAGTGTTGGAAAGAACATCTGTTGCCCATAGACCAAGTATTCAAAAATACTGCCCATTCAACTGTCAATACAAAAATAATCAGGGTCCCAAGAGAAGCAACCACGTCGGTTTGTGACACCACTTATCCTTGATCTCCCTCTGTCTACGCCACTTGGTTTCAATTCTTCTGCCACACACACACAATCACTATTATTATTGTTTGATAATTATAACTATTATAATTATTGCCATCGATAAGAAAAAATAGAAGAAACGTATAAGTATCTGAGCAGGGCAGTATGAAGGGAAACCTAATCTTCCCGCCCATGCACGTCCTCCGAGCTGACAAACTGAGGAGCGAGATCCCCAAAGCCAGGGGTTGGAGCCCTGCGACTTGGAAACCAGGACCGAAGTCCTCCTGCGTCCTAGAAAGGACACCGAAGCGAAGGTCAGTCCCGGAAGGCGTCTGTGACGCACTTCCGGCCCTTGTGACGCTTGCTCTGGGTTCTGATACCCTTACGGCCAGGATCCAAGGCCAGTGTCCTTCGATCCTCCGAGCCACAGCCGTCTTCCACCCCAGTACCCCAGTCTTCTCTGGGGTTCACGGTGAGACATGGGTGCTGCCAGGGAGGGCGGGCGAGAACAGAGGCGGATGTATGCGGCTGTGCTCAGCTGCCCCCTCGTCAGAACGGCCCCGAACGTGATGGAGGGGGACCCATGTATCCATCCCCAGTCCCAGCCCCAACGGTAGGACGCTTTGTCTCCCAGAAGAGACAGTCCCTGGGTTCAGATGGGAAAGGTACGAAGTTTTGGTTTCTGAACCGGGACGGATACTCCTGGGACTGGGGAGAGGGAGTCTGCATGTCCCTTCTTGTCCCCTAGCCTTCGGTTTTCACCCCAAGGAGCCGTGAACAAAATGACCCTAGTCTGATTTCTGTGCTCCCTACTTGTCCCCATTTGTTTTCTTTCTGGTGAGGGCTTTTTCTGAGTTCCTATGGACCCCGAGTTGTAAAATTTGGGCGACCTTGGAGGATACCAAGTTCCATGGGCCTTTTTTTTTTTCTTTTTAATTTGATGGGTTTGGTAAGTCTCACAAGTGTCCACAGATCATCTGTTCACCCTCAAACCAGCACCATTATGATGGTGATGAGTGTCTGAAGCCTATTGAATAAAGAAGTGATTAGGATGCAATAGGAAAAGATTATATACACTTCACCCTTTTCCTTTCAGTTTCTGGAGTTTATGAGGCTTTTTAAATGAGCAATTTTGGACATTGGGGGGATCCGTCGTGGGAAGTAACTTTGCTTGACTTGGAGGGATGAAGCAGTGGAAAGTGCTTTGGGCCAATAGGTGACCGGTTATGGGCGCTCTCTCCTCCACGGATTAACAGGATACTCTTTGAAGAAATATAGACCTACCATGTCTCAAATTTGTCCTAAATAAAATAGTTTATATCAAAGGCCCTTGCAACTTTGAAGTTCAATGATAGACTGAATTGAACTGTGAAAAATTCAGCTAGGCAACACCTAATGCCCCACCTCCATTTCCTACTGTGTCACCAGTATACAGAAAGTTACTCCCATTATTGAGAAAGGTTAAGTGACAGAGAACCTAAGAAACATTTATTATACAAACCAGTGCTACATAGATCATAGGCAATCAATTAATGAATGTGGAGAATAGCTTGTAAGCAAATCAGTGAAACCTTACTGTTCAGGAAGGATGTAGATTGGTTATGCAGGGAAATTTAATGGGAGACATTTATATAACTTACCCATGAATGTAAAATTTATTTCTGTATCTTAAACCTGTGCTACTACATAATATTTCTCTCATTCTTACTCAGATGTTTTATAAATAACCTGACAATCATAATATAGTGAAATCTCTTAATTGATAAATGACATGTCCTTTCAAGTCAGGCCTATGGTGAATTTGTTAAACTTTCTATGAATGAGCAGAAAATGTTCATATTGTTCCATTTAAACAATTGTTTTATTTTTTGAGACAGAGTCTCGCTTTGTTGCCCAGGCTACAGTGAGTGCTGTGGTGTCAGCCTAGCTCACAGCAACCTCAAACTCCAGGGCTCAAGCAATCCTCCTGCCTCAGCCTCCCAAGTAGCTGGGACTACAGGCATGCACCACCATGCCCGGCTAATTTTTTCTATATATATTAGTTGGCCAATTAATTTATTTCTATTTATAGTAGAGACGGGGGTCTCGCTCTTGCTCAGGCTGGTTTTGAACTCCTGACCTCAAGCAATCTGCCCGCCTCAGCCTCCCAGAGTGTTAGAATTACAGGCATGAACCACCGTGCCCGGCCTGAACAAAATTTTTTTAACACCTTAACTTACCTGTGAGTTGTATTTAACTCATGCTAGTTTTGAGCCAGGGGCTGTGTGAAGCATATATAAGTCATGTCTCTTCACCTTGGGAGCCACATGAACTATTTTTCAAGTTGCATCTGACTCATGCACAGAACACAATAAAAAGTAACAAATTTTTTCATTAAATTGTTTTGTTTTTGAAGTATTTATTCTGTTTTGTAATAAAGCACCAAGGAAAAAAATTTTTCTAATATGGCAATTGGTGTGTTAAATATCTATTCATTGCAAGGAACTATGTTAAGTGACTTATAGGCAATAATGAAAGCAAAAGACAATGCTTACTCTTAGGTAGTAGTCTAGCTGAGATAAGGCATGAAAGCATTAAAAATTAAATTTCAGGGCAAGAGTTGTCAAAATATTACATACCCAACCAGTGGTGGAGGCAGTGAGTTGAAAGTCAAGAGAGCATTTGAGAAATATATAATAAAACCCAGTGTTTTTACGGTTACCCACCTGAATTGGAGCAGGAAACTACTCTGTGAAGGCCTGTCCAAGTCAGAGAGGAGTGACTATGCTCCTGGCCTCAGCCCTATCTCTTTCAGTTTTTCCTCCTCCTTGGATTCCCTTCATTTTGATTCATACTGCCACCATGACGGACAGAATGGAGTTTTCCGGAGCTATATCACTAAAAATGAAGGGAAGTGAGCACAGAAAATATAATAGTTGGAAAATGAGGGTAAAAATGGCAACACAAATGATGACATACTAGAAATGCTATAAGATGGGACAAAAATAAAAATTAGAGCTGTCAGGAAGGGCTTAATGGGTTTCAAGAAAGGATAGAATTTTGAGGGATGGAGTTAGGGAGGGAGATTGTTCCAGGAAAAGGGATGAAGATGGGAAACCAGCACATGTTGAACAGTGAGTCCAGTTTGAGTCAAGTATAGAGTCTGTGAAGAAATGGGAGGAAAGACTTGAAGATTGTTTTGGTATGGAGACCTTGAAATGGGATTTATGCTTAATTTTTGAGATGAGAGAGTGATATGTTCAGAGCTGTATTCTGGCAATATTGTTCAGACCCCATTAGTAGTTTGATTTGGAACAGGAAGAAGTTGCAGCTAAGTAGATTATTGCAGTGATCTATGCTAGAGGTAATGAGAGCCCAAACTCTAGTTTAGAAATGGACATGGGACAGGGGATAAATTTGAGAGACATTTTCTGTAGTGGTTATTATAGATTAATGAATAAGAGAATGAAATTAAGATTTGCAGGAATTGCATTATCTTCCAGTATTGGATGAAATTAGTCAAAACAATGAATTCTTGGAGCATCCTTCATTGGATAGCTATTCTTGGTGCGATCCAATCCATCCTTGACATACTTGCTGTTATTTCTTTGCAGGAATCAATTAAGCCATGTGACTAATATTGAAGGTTAGTTTAGTAAAACCAAATAATATCTATAAATCCATTAGGCTTACATAAACACTAAAACATTGCAATATATTAGAAGCAAGCAAATGAGGGTATCTAGTAAGCCCCCATCTGCTATTGAAATCTTATTCTCCCTCTAGAATAACTCATGGGTCTATGTAACATGAAATTTTCAAGTATTCATGTAATTATACAACTTAATTTCTTTTTTTTCCTTTCTTTTCTTTTTTTTTTTTTTTGAGTTAGAGTCTCACTCTGTTGCCCAGGCTAGAGTGACGTGGCGTCAGTCTAGCTCACAGCAACCTCAAACTCCTGGGCTCAAGCGATCCTACTGCCTCAGCCTCACGAGTAGCTGGGACTACAGGCACACGCCACCATGCCCAGCTAATTTTTTCTATATATTTTTAGTTGGCCAACTAATTTCTTTCTATTTTTTTTAGTAGAGACGGGATCTCGCTCTTGCTCAGGCTGGTTTCGAACTCCTGACCTTCATCTATCCGCCTGCCTTGGCTTCCTGATTTCTTCTTAATTCTAATTCTTTTCTCTGTGCCCCAGTGGATCATCCTGTATACCCTACTTTGGTGATTACTTTTAAGAGTGACCAGATCACTTTTTCGATTTGGCTATGTAACAGCATACTTAAGACACTGGCTTCAGACTTGGGTTTAAGTACTGGTTCTACTATACTATGCATTGTTAGACATATTTAATCTTTCTCAGCTTCTATTTTTTTATCTGTAAAATAGGATTAATAATCATGTGTACCTCATTAGGTTTCCATAGGTGTTAAAAGAGCTGCGTATGTAATACACCAGATCTGCCTGTCACACAGCTAGCATGAATGAGGGTTACTCAGTATTTACCATGTCACAACACTGGATTTAGTGAATTGTCTTGTATAAGTTGTTAATGGCATAGCAATACAATGTTGCTTTTTAATACTGCTATTAAATTTTTCTACCCTGCAGGATAGCAAAAACCAAACTATAAAACCTCCTAGGTCACAAAGGATAGCCCTGCAAAACAGACCCTGTTTGGATCAAGTTAGCCTGTTCCTTTAACCTGAATAATGACTGCTGAATCAAGGGATTTGTCTCCCCAGGCTGCCCAGGAGATGGAAGGCATAGTGATAGTGAAGGTGAAGGAGGAAGATGAAGATGAAGAAGATGAAGAAGACCATTTTCAAAGGGAAAAAAATAATGTAGAGTCATCACCACAATTTCTTAGCCACTCTACAACTATGAATGAGAGAGCCTTACTATCATCATATTTAGTTGCATATCGAGTGGCAAAAGAGAAAATGGCCCACACAGCTGCTGAAAAAATTATCCTTCCAGCATGTATGGATATGGTACGTACAATATTTGATGATAAATCAGCTGATAAACTAAGAACTATACCTCTTAGTGATAATACGATATCTCGTCGAATCTGTACTATTGCAAAACATTTGGAAGCAATGCTTATTACACGGCTACAGTCTGGTATAGACTTTGCAATCCAGCTTGATGAGAGTACTGATGTTGCAAGTTGTCCAACATTCTTGGTTTATGTCAGGTATGTGTGGCAAGATGATTTTGTAGAAGATCTCTTATGTTGTTTAAATTTAAGTTCACATATAACTGGATTAGATTTATTTAATGAACTAGAAAAGTGCATTGTTGGTCAGTATAAATTAAACTGGAAAAATTGTAAAGGAATTTCAAGTGATGGAGCAGCAAATATGACTGGAAAACATAGCAGAGTTATTGAAAAATTGTTAGAAGCAACCCATAACAATGCTCTTTGGAATCACTGTTTTATTCATCAAGAAGCTTTGGTATCCAAAGAAATTCCACCAGGTCTAATGGATGTATTGAAAAATGCAGTGAAAATTGTTAATTTTATTAAAGGAAGTTCATTGAACAGCCAACTTCTTGAAATATTTTGTTCAGAGATTGGAGTTAACCATACCCACTTACTGTTTCACACAGAAGTTCGTTGGTTGTCTCAAGGAAAAGTATTGAGCAGAGTATATGAACTCAGGAATGAGATTTACATTTTTCTCATTGAAAAGCAATCTCATTTGGCAAATATTTTTGAAGATGACATTTGGGTAACAAAATTGGCATATTTAAGTGATATTTTTGGCATTTTTAATGAATTAAATTTGAAAATACAGGGGAAAAACAATGATATATTTCAGTATCTTGAACATATTCTAGGATTCCAAAAGACATTATCATTGTGGCAAGCAAGACTTAAAAGTAATCACCCCAGCTACTATATGTTCCCAACATTGTTGCAACACATTGAAGAGAACATTATTAATGAAGACTGCTTAAAAGACATAAAATTAGAGATATTGTCACATCTTTCCTCTTTGTCTCAAACCTTTACTTATTACTTTCCACAAGAGAAATTTGAATCATTAAAGGAAAATATTTGGATGAAAAATCCATTTGCTTTTCAAAACCCAGAATCAATACTTGAGTTAAACTTGGAGCCTGAAGAAGAGAATGAATTATTACAGCTCAGCTCATCATTCACACTGAAGAATTATTATAAGACATTAAGTTTATCAGCATTTTGGATTAAGATTAAAGGTGAATTTCCATTGCTGAGTAGTAAGAGTATATTGCTGTTATTACCATTCACAACTACTTATTTGTGTGAACTAGGATTTTCAATCTTGACACGATTGAAAACAAAGAAAAGAAATAGGCTCAATAGTGCACCAGACATGCGGGTAGCATTATCTTCATGTGTTCCTGACTGGAAGGAACTTATGAACAGGCAAGCACACCCATCACATTAAATAAAATCTTCACGAAATGTTGTGTTTGTACTTTTTAAGGGATTTTTTGGTATGTTGTATTTAAATGTTAATAAAGTTATATTTGGAATTAACTAGGTTTTTATTTTACTACATAGTATTGTTTCATGAAACTTGTTTCATTTGCATGAGTGTGTGTGTGTACAAGGTGGTGATATAAAATATATTAATATTTCTGTGAATTACTATCAAGAATTTTGAAAAATAATGTTCTTAACATGTTAATTTTATACTGAAATCTATTCCCATATCCAGCACTGCTGCCTTGCTACTGCCTTTCTGGCAGAGCCCTGTTTATGCTCAGTTACTTGCCCTCTTGGTGTCTATGTGCTTTTCCCTTTTCTTTCTAATTCCAGAAAGTGAGTCTTGATGCTTATTTAGGCTAGGTCATCAAAGGAGGATTAACACCGTTCTCCTTGACTCGGGGTTTATTTAGGCAAGGCCATATGTTATAATTCTAGCTAATGAGATGTTTAGGTAGTCTTCTGGGCTATTTCTGTGGTTTTCCTTGTTATCTAAAAGGACACCAGAGAGAAGATAGTGATGATAGTGGCATAATTTTTTAATCTCTCCAGATGCCTCCTTGAAAACACATGGCAACTAGGACTGCAAAACTGAAACCTTCACATGGATGGCATCTGTAGTAAAACCAGGTAACAGGGCACCTCCAACAGTTGTGAAACTGACATGACCTCAAGTCATTGTATAAGAGAAGCAACAAGCAACTAACAGACCTGAGAACTGCAAAATAATCCATAGTTACTGAATGCAAAATTTCTATGAGCTATATTGAGAACCACATCTGAAACTAGGAGGAGTTTGCACACTTCAGTACAGGGCAGGTATTAGGGGTTGGTGGTACAGTTGGAGCAGTGTGGGCCCTGTGAAATATTTAATAGAACCCAGCTTGACCAAGACAGGGACAAGAGACCATGTAAAAGAAGTCTTTGTGTCCTTGGGGACTGCTTTGTTTAGTTTTCTCTACCTAGAATTAAGATTTGTCTATCTTAATTGATAAGTGAGAATTGGCCTTTGGTCAACTTCTAGGTTGTAAGTTTCTGCACAAGCACCATCCTTAAGGACCATGACAGTTTTTGTGGGGCCTTCTCAATCAAAAATCCTGCCTCTTCTGGACCAAATACTTGCTTCCTTCATGTTTTCTCACTATAACATAACTCACATGTATCTCACTAGCAGTTTCACCAGGGACAATTTGGAATTGCAGTGGCCATTTTTGGGGAAAACTTTGGACATGAATGGAATTGGTCATTTGAGAAGTTCCTTAAACAAAAAGGAAATAACCCTCATGAGATTATTTGTAGTGTCTCTGGAAGAGATCTTTTTACTTAACATAGGAGACATACTCCACTTGGCTTCTATGCTTTAGGGATAAATAAGTATTGGCTTCTTAATTGTATGACAGTCTAAAACTGATTCTGCCTTACTTTGTTTTCTTTCTTTCCCTCTTATTTTTCCTTTCTTGGGAAACTTTTAAAGATTAACTAATAAGGGAAAACCAGGCTGTTACTTATGTATACTCTAAAAATATCTATTCTAGATGGTAAGAAATAACCAAAACAAGCCAGGCACCGTGGCTCATGCATGTAATCCTAGCACTTTGGGAGGCTGAGGCAGGAGGATTGCTTGAGCTCAGGAGTTCCAGACCAGCCGGAGCAAGAGCGAGACCTGGTGTCTACAAAAAAATAGGAAAAAAAGTTAGCTGGGTATGGTGGTGTGTGCCTGTAGTCCCAGCTACTCTGGAGGCTGAGGCAGAAGGATCCCTTGAACCCAGGCATTTGAGGTTGCAGTGAGCTACAATGACGCCACTGCCTTCTAGCTGGGGTGACAGCAAGATTCTGTCTCGAAAAAAAAATCAGGTAATGTAACTCCTCCAACTTGGTTCCTCCAACTTTGGAAAGTTGTTTTGACTACTAAGCCATTTGCATTTCTATATACATGTTAGAATTAGCTTGTCAGTTTATACCAAAAAGCCAGTTAGGATATTGACTGGGAGTGTGCTGAATTTATGCATTCATTAGGGGATTTTTATTTTGATACCTTTGTCAAAATTAAGAAACCAAGATTGATGCGTTACTATTAACAAAACTCCAAACCTTGTTTCACCTATTTTTCCCTTAATATCCTCTTTCTAATCCATATGGTAGACGGGTAGGGAGGCGGGGGCAGATTCTGAGGATCAGCGTCATCTTGTATGTTGCCTGCTTCATTTGAGGCATCTTCTTCAAGCAAAGGAAAAGGTTCTATTTTCCAACAATGTGGTCCACTTTTGCAGAGCCAGAGTTAAAGGAAACCTAGGAGTTTAAAGTGCTCAAGCACAGCTACCCATATCATCCCATCCCTTCCACCTTTTCCCCACCAGAGCTTTGCTAAAGTTCTATCGTTCTCAAGACTTTTTTTGTTTGTTTTTTTGATATACGGTTGTGCTGTCACCCAGGCTGGAGTGCAGTGGCATCCTCATAGCTCACTGCAACCTCAACCTCCTGGGCTCAAGCAATTCTTCTGTCTCAGTCAAGTAGTTGGGACAACAGGCATGCATCACCATGCTCAGCTAATTTTTGGTTTTGTTTGGTAGAAACAGGGTTTCACTCTTGCTCAGGCTGGTCTTGAATTCCTGGCCTCAAGAGATCCTCCCACCTCAGCCTCCAAAAGTGCTAGGATTAAGTCAGTTATTAATTAAGTCTTGAACTTTAGTTCTGTGATTCTGTTTGTAGATGGAAGTCTCTTTAAATGCTACCAAGGAGACCCTCTGAAACTTAGACTTTGCATTAAATTGGTGGTCATCTGCCTTGTTATTTTCTTTCTTCAAGAAGTCAGTGGCTTTCAGCACATCCCTTTCTACCCTTATCCCATACCAGTTCACCAATGTCTCAGTGATTGGCAGGTACTACATGCCAGGGACCATCAATACTCCACCCACCACCAGTCACAGGGTCCTCATTGTCTCATGGTGAGTGAGCAACTTCACAACCCACTGTTACAGTCAGCTTCCTAGGACCACTCATGGCACCATATGTCTTAGGTCAGATTCTCTAAAGCAGAGCCTGAGATAGGGATTCAGTGCCACGTGATTTACTAAGGGCATAACTAATTCAGGAAAAGCCTTTGAAGGCAGGAATGAAACAGGACATAGAAGGAAGGGAGCCCAGTGAGTCTAGGCTCGGATAAAGTCTAGCCTTGGCCTGATCCCAGGATTTGGGTGCATAAACTGCACCAGCTTTCCCTCACCCTTGAGGCAAGTAAAGCAGCCTTGTGTACCCCTTATCAATCAGTCATTGGCTGGGGGGGATAGAGGGTAGGTAACTTCCAAGTGAAACAGTTCCCATCTTCTGAAGGCAAATCTCCAGTTTCCAGAGACACAGGAGAGCTGTGAGCACTTAGCTGCCCAAACTGAGAACAGCTGGAGAGGAGTGTTCCAGCTCGGTAAAGGGGTCTGGACAAGGCACCATAGCATACAACACACAATCAACAATATTTATTGGGCATTTATTGTAAGCCAGGCAAGTCAGCAGAAGCAGGGCCTCAGAAGCACTCTCTCCCTCTCTCTAGCAAGAAGGCTCAAGTGAACTCTCATCCAGGTCATCATCTTTCCCCTCCCAACTCCTACCCAGACCTTCCCACGAGCCAGGGTTAATGGGACCACGTACCTGCCTGTTCCTCATTACTGTTTACTTTCCCTTCCAGCTGCAAAGCAAACTGAAACTCACTCCGTCCTCCCTCACCCTACAGGAGAGGTCTATCCCCAGGCCACCTGGGAATCAGCAAGCACACTGCTAGGACTAAGATTCTTCATTCACTTTGGCCCAATTCTGCCCATGGATTTAGCTTCCCTTGCTCTTGCAGATACTGTAAGATAAACCAGTCCACGGTTTTGCTTGTCTTCTCTTCTCTCCTAAGGTCCTTCTTCATCTTGAGATGTGACTGAGCACCACAGTTTCTCCTGAATTTACAAATTTAACTTCTCCTTCTATGAGCTAACCTTGATGCTAGTAAAATCAGAACAAAAACAAGGTTGAGTGTTTCATAGAGAAGTTGTAGATTGAATAAGGCAGCAGGAACACATACCTTCCAGCCTCTGAACCCCAATCTTGCCAAAATATAGATACCTGAAGTCAATTTCTTTTCAACGGGGTTAATACTCAAGATGGGAACAATGACTGGAGTATTCTAGTGGTTGGGATGATCATTTCTAGGAAAGGGGCATTGCTGAGGTACCAAAACAGATATCATGCTGAAAAATTCTTTCACCACACTCTTCCCTGAATAGATAGGCTGTCAAACAAGGCAGAGGCTACAAATAAAGCTCATTTTTACTGTATTCATGAGGCTTTTCCTAGTGTCCATTTTCTGAGTTTCACATGAAGAATGAGTGTCATCTGAAGGCTTCCCTTCATCCTCCATGTCCATAGGTTCTTTTTTTGTCTAGATTCCCAAGCACAAAGATGCTAACTAAAGCATTTCTCAATGGGGAAAGCAAACAGGTGTCTATGTATTGTGGATACTCCAGTGCACCTAAAGCCTGAATTCTAACGGAAGGATTTCAACATATCTGTAGGTTTGATGAATAAGTTGGAAAAATGTTTGAAGTTGTTATTACACTCATTATAGGAATAAGATTTCTCTTCAGAAAGCCTTCTCTAAAATTGACTAAGAGATGTTCTACAATAGATACACCTATACACTTTTGGTATTTATGGAATCTGTCCTCTCATGGCTTCTCAGATGTTTAAAGAGGCTACAACTCCAACTGAAGCTCATTCCACATTCTTTACATTGAAAGGGTTTCTCACCAGTATGGATTCTCTGATGTTGATTAAGGTGTGACTTCAGGGTGAAGCCTCGTCCACATTCATTACACTGATGGGATTTTGTGGTAGAATAGATCTTCTGATGTTGTTTAATGTGGGGACACTGGCCAACATTTTCTCTACATATATCACATTTATAGGTTTTCTTTGCAGTATGAGTTCTGTAATGCTGA